GCATCAAACAGACTGTCAAATTATAGCGGGAAGGTTAGGGAGATAAGAGATCAACCAAAAGACTTGTCTGCATGCATATAAGCATAATCGATGGACGCAAAACTCTGGGGGGTGAGGGCATGTATGGGAGTGGGGTGGAGGGGGTAAGATATGTACACATATAATACCTTAATAAAAAAATAAAAAATATATATTTAAAAAAAATAAAATAGAACAATTGTAACAGTACAATGCAATAAAAGTTAAGTGAATGTTTTCTCTCTCTCTCTCTCTCTCTCTCTCTCTCTCTCTCTCTCTCTGTCTCTCTCTCTCTCTCTCTCTCTCTCTCTCTCTCTCTCTCTCCCCCTCACCCTCCACAAATGTCTTATAACCATCTCTTACTTGCAGTAAATGGTGTGGTGTCACTTCTGTCAGGGAACCCTTTGCTGAAGTGTTCATATGGCTCAATAGTTTCTGGCTCAACACATCACCGTGAATCAGAACACATGTTTTGTTTATGTCTTCCACTCACAAATGTAATCCCTTTCCTATTTTAACTAAGCACATATCACGCACTGTGGCCATAACTCTTGCCGTGTGAGGTGCTACAGCCAAACTAGCACAAATCTCTTTTTCCTTCCTCACAACTTCACGGGTAGAAGGTTGCAAATCTTAGCAACCCAAGCATACAATTTTTTTTTTATTATTATTAAGTTTAGAACTTGCACTCTTTCCCTCAGAGGAAGCGCTCTACGGCTTCTCTTTGGCAAATCCAAACTGTCAGCCTCGCTACTCTTGAGCTTCGGGGCCATCATTAAGTAAAATGACGGGACTTGAACACAAGCACTGCGATACCATGACAGAGGAGGAGCTCGTGTGACTAACTGGTGGGGACTGGGCAGCTTGGAGATGCTGACATAGGGATGAGTCATGTCTCTTGCAGAACACAGTGGCTGCCAAGAGATTTCATCACAGTACTCAGAACACTGTACAATCTAACACTTATGAACTGTTTATTTTTAAAATATATTTTTATTGATTTCAGAGAGGAAGGGAGAGGCAGAGATAAGAATCATTGATCTGCTGCCTCCTGCACGCCCCACACTGGGGATGGAGCCTGCAACCCAGGCATGTGCCCTGATGGGCAATCAAACCATGACCTCCTGGTTCATAGGTCAATGCTCCACCACTGAGCCATGCTGGCCAGGCTGAATTGTTATTTTGAAAAATTTCCATTTAATATTTTCCAACTGCAGTTGGCCACGGACAACGGGAACCACAGAGAGTAAAAATGCTAAGTTCTCTTTTGTTGCTATGTAAGCAGACTGGTGTACAAGCAGGAATTCCAGTTTTCCAGTAAAAACCTGGTGGAGGCTTAGACTAGGGTGGAGAAGCAGTCAGGTTTAGGAAAATGTTTTAGAGTTAAAGGTAACAGGACTGGATGTAGAGTGTGAAGGGAGGAAAAAAAAAAAAACAACGAACACACTGACAGTCATAAAACACAGTAAGAACGAATGCAACAGGATTAGCTAAGCTTGCAAATGCCAGGCTGTGTGAGTGGCTATCAGATGGAGGGCTTCTGTCCAACTGCTTAGGGGAGGGGTCGTGGGAAAGCTGGGAGAACAAACACTTGACACAGACTATGGAGAAAAAGGACGTGGGGATAATTCAATGAAAGGGAGTAGCTGAGAGTTTACAGGTAGGATAGTAATATGTATTGTTCTGTTCTCTTTTGTACATTTTATTTTTGAGACATTTCATACATCATCTCTCAAATAGGTTTTTTTAAATCAACGTATGACTATCATTTCCATCCACAATGAAAGGCGTAGTACATTACTTCAGACGCAGTGACATTCTATAAATTCTGATCGAACTATGAAGACCTCAACAAGCCTATCACACGTCCTGGAATCCAGGATCAGCCATGGTAAGCCAAGACAAAAAATGTGTGACTCTGGTTGCTATATCACAAGGACTTTATACTGTGTAATACACACTAATAACTTGTACAGCATTGGCTTAGTTTTCACTTTAGGATGTTACTGGATTTTTAAAATATATATATTTTATTGATTTTGTACAGAGAGGAAGGGAGAGAGATAGAGAGTTAGAAACATCGATGAGAGAGAGAGATCAGCTGCCTCTTGCACACCTCCTACTGGGGATATGCCCACAACCAAGGTACATGCTTTGACCGGAATCAAACCCGGGACCTTTCAGTCCCCAAACCGACGCTCTATCCATTGAGCCAAACCGGTTTCGGCTATTACTGAATTTTTAAAATTATTATTTTGATAACAGCTTTTCCTTATTGGGTAGACTGATTGATGTGGTAATAAAGAGGATTATATAGAAATAATACGTAGAAACAGAAGTTTGTGAGAAGGGATATTTCTCAGTCAACCCACTTTATCTAGCAAGGCTTCCCTCATGAGTCATAGCTGATTTTAGAATCATCCAGAATTAACAAGAGAGGGAGAGAGAATTGTTTTTCTGACTGGTGGAGAAATGAGAATGGGATTGAGTAGTGATTTTAAAACTCTTTGGGTTTAGTGTTTGATTTAGGCATGACTCTCCCTTTTCTACACACTAAATATAACATAAAAAAACCTTACTGTTGGACTGAATGAGAGTGAATTTGCTTAGAGAGATGTTTGAGACCCCCTAGAGTCCATAAGAGAACTGAAAGGGAGAACACTGAAACCAGTAGTAGAGAGAAAGTGACGAAGGGAAGATTCTAGTAACTAGAACATAGGCTAAGGGAGATGAATAGGTAGAGATCACACTATGTTGACTGTGAACCAGCCACCATTCCAAGGGCTTTACCTGTTTTAATTCATTTAATTCTCACAAGAATGCTGTATAGATGAAGACACCATGGTACTCAGAGGTTGGGTAAGTTGGCTGAGATCACAGAACTGGAATTTGAAGCCAGGCATTCTGACTCTAGAAACCATGATCTTAACCAAGGTGTTGGTCAATATCTTTTTCTTAGAAAAAGAGGAAAAAATAACATGAATCCCAGAACTTCTTAGATCCTCCATACTGGTACTTAGAAACTATGGTGGTATCCTATATAATAAAAGCCTAATATGCAAATTGACTGAACGTCGGAATAACTGGTGGAACGACCAGTCGCTATGATGTGCACCAGGGGGCAGATGCTCAACGTAGGAGCTGCCCCCAGTCTGCAGGTCCCAGGCCAGCCAAGGCGGGTGCCAGCAGGGCTCCTCCCCATTGCTTGGGCAGTCACCCCACAGATTGGCCCTGATCGCCTGCCAGACCTAGGGACCCTACCCATGCACAAATTAAGTGCATATATCTAGTTTTGATATAATGTACTGAGACAATTATCTCCTCTACTTTATCATTATTGTTTATCCCCTTGGCTTTCAATGACAGCTATATCATCCTCTTGAATGACTTGCAAAGTTAAAAATGTAGCTGACTTCAGCTCTATTTTTTAATCTAACACATGCTTTTAAAAAGTGTTGCATACCTTATTCAAATTTTTTTGGGGGGGAAATCTGCTGAGGTTTTTAAGTTAAAGATCCAAGATAAACAACTAGATTTTTGGCTTTCAAAAAATACTTGAATAACTCATAGCTTATGTATTGGATTTGCTGTGCTGTGTCCCTTAAATTGTACCACTTTAAGGAGCCTTCTGGAGCGATTAATACACTAATTACTAGAGGTCACAAACGCTGTCATAATTGAAGTCTTCTCTTTATTAATCTCCTGCCAATTGCCTGATTATATACGGCTAGGGAAGAAAAGCTACGTGCAGTGGGGAGGGTATGGTAGCATGGAGATTGCTGGGTACGTGGCCAGTGTGTCTGCCTCCAAGGTGAACAATGGAGTTATTCTTTTCAGCCCATTCCCGGGATACAGAATGATCAGCATGCCTGGGGCACACTCCTGGAGGGGGGTCAGGGCCCAGAAAGGGTGACCAGGTCCAAGGTACCTTCTTTGATCAAGACAGAGCAGACACAGCCAAAACCGGTTTGGCTCAGTGTATAAGAGTGTCGGGCTGCAGACTGAAGGGTCCCAGGTTTGATTCTGGTCAGGGGCATATACCTAGGTTGCAGGCACATCCCCAGTAGGAAGCAGCTGATCCATGTTTCTCTCTCATCGATGTTTCTAACTCTCTATCCCTCTCCCTTCCTCTCTGTAAAAAATCAATATATATATATATATATATATATATATATATATATATATATATATATATATATATATATATATAATTTTTTTTTAAAGAACAAACACGCTCAGACCAGTTTGGCTCAATGGATAGAGCGTCAGCCTGCGGACTGAAGGGTCCCGGGTTTGATTCCGGTCAAGAGCATGTACCTTGGTTGCCAGCACATCCCCAGTAGGATGTTTCTCTTCCTTGGATGTTTCTGACTCTCTATCCCTGTCCCTTCCTCTTTGTAAAAAAATCAATAAAATAAAAAAAGAACAGACACTATTTATATTAACACTCATTGCCAGGGGCCCTGCCCCATCCCTTACCCTGAAGAGTGTGCCAAACAGTGGGACAACTATTCTGCTTTCAGATCAGGGAGAATGGTATTGGGAAGTAACTTTTTCTGCCGGGCTCCCGAACCCCAACCTCTGTTTAGGCTACAGATAACACTGCACCAACGCAGCACGTTATCCAATTTTCGTACAAACGCTCACACCCAACCTCAAGAGTCTGGGGGGGGGGGGGGGGGAATCTATCCTAATTGGAATCAAGCTTTGCTGTTCCTTCAAGAAGGCGCTTGTGCTTCGCGCAAAGCGCGACCCAGAGATGCTCGCCCTGCAGCTCCTCGGGCGCCTCCCCGGCCTCCGCCTGGACGGTGGCCCAGCGCCCCCGGCCGGGCTGGAGGGAGGGGCGGCCGAGGGGCGGCGAGGAGGAGCGCCCTGGTCCAGTCCCCCTTCCCCGCGGCCCCGCGCGCGCCCTCCTCCCCCGCGGGGGCTGCGGCTGGAGAGGAAGCGGGGCGGCTCCGCTCGGTGCGCGCCGCGGCGCCCTCATGCCCCCTCCCTTCTCCTCCGCGCGGGGCCCCGGCGCGCCCCCTCCCTGGCCCTCGCCCCGGGAGAGGAGCGGGCGGCGCGGGCGGGCCCGCGGGGAGAGGCCGCGGGGAGCAGCGGAGACCCTGGGCCGCGCGGCTCCTCCGGACGAGCCAGGGCCCCGGGCGGCCCCCGGGAGCGCGGCGGCCGGAAGCGCAGGCGCGTCACTTCCGGGCGGTGCAGCGGCGGCCGCTAGGAAGATGGCGGCGCCCTGTGGCTCGGAGCGGCCCGCCAACTCGCCGCTTAAAATCCCAAAGATGGAGGTGCTGTCCCCCGCCTCTCCCGGCGGCCTGAGCGACGGGAACCCTTCGCTGTCCGACCCTTCCACGCCTCGGGGCGCCTCCCCGCTCGGGCCGGGCAGCGCGGCCGGCTCGGGGGCGGCGGCGGCCGGGGGTCTCGGGCTGGGGGGCCGCAGCGCCGCCTCGTCCTGGGGCGCCCCCGCGGCCGCCTGCCGCGGCATGTCGTGGACGCCGGCCGAGACCAACGCGCTCATCGCCGTGTGGGGCAACGAGCGGCTGGTGGAGGCGCGGTACCAGCAGCTGGAGGGAGCCGGCACGGTGTTCGGCAACAAGGCCCCCGGGCCGGCCATGTACGAGCGCGTGTCCCGGGCCCTGGCCGAGCTGGGCTACGAGCGGACCCCGTCCCAGTGCCGGGAGCGCATCAAGGTAACCGGCCGCCCGGCCCGGGGCAGCGAACCCGAGGCGGAGAGGAGGCGGGGAGCGCGGACCAAGGGGGGCGGGGCCGGGGCCGGGGCCGGGGCCGGTCCCAGCTCGGGGCTCCCTCCCTCCGGAGCCCGGGGTGGGGGGCGTCTCGCATCTCTCCGCCTTTTTCTTCTCTCCTTGGGAAGGGCTTTTTTTTTTGTTTTTTTGTTTTGTTTTGTTTTGTTTTTTCTCCAGATGGCCGCCAGCCCGTAGGTTTCCTGAGTTTGAAGTTGGGCGTGCCTGCCGCCGCCCCTCTTTCTTGCCAATGGAAGACGCTCCTGCGCTCTGAAGTTGCCGGGTTTCTCCTTGCGCGCCGTGGGCCTCCCCGAGCCCGGCGCCTCTCACCCCACCGCCGGGGCCTCGCTTTGTTCCAGGCAGAGGGGGCTCCTAGGCAGAGGTTACCCCTCCCCCCCCCCCGCGGGATTGAGGAAGGGCAGCGGGAGGGGGGCGGGGGGCTGGGAGAGGGGGCGCCGGTGAGCCCCCAGGTTAGGGATTTTCCAAGGAGCGCGGTGGCAGAGCCGCACGGAGAGCGCCTTCAGGTGACTTAGCCTTTGTGTCAGTCGCCTTGCTTCTTCACTGGAGCTGCGAAGGACGAGTCCTACGGGAGAGATGCTTTGGAGCATGGGAAAGGCGTGATTGGAGCCAGATGAGTGCATTGTTCTGGGCGCAGTCAGCTTGCCTGCTAGTTGGTCTAGAATTTGGAGTGTCAGTGCCTCCTCCTCCAGAGTTAGATGGGCTTGAGGGATGTTTTCTGACTTAGCTCCTTCCTGGAAAGCTCGTTTTCCCCTGGTATGGGGTTTGTTGTGCGGGATATGGTGCCCGGGAAAGCTGTCCGTGTGCATCTAGCTATCCTTGTGTGGTTATCGGTTTTTTTTTTTTGCTGTTTTTATTGACTTTTTAATGTAGGCATCCCAGTTTGTGTGTGTATTATAAGTTGATACGGAGTTGTTTTTTTTTAGGGGTAAGTTAGTTCCCTCATCGCAGTGTCTGCCAAAGGGTTCTGGTAGGATTCCAGTGATCACTGAACCACTTCTCCTTCCCTCATAGTCATAGTATCTGCGTGCTTCTTTTCTGATGGGGATGATACTGTTTTTGGAACTTCTCGGAGAGGGGGTAAAAACCAAGTCAGGACAATGGTAATCACCCTGAAGGAGGTGATTGCTCCAACATTTAAGAGGTCTTGGCTCAAAAAATTTAGTCCAGAAACCAAGACATTTCAAACCTGTTAACTGTTGTTCAAGGAATTTGACACCATTTCTCAATTACAAAATTAAATCGGTTTACTTGATAACATGTACCTTTGGGTCTTATGATCTATCCCCCTCCCCTTAAAAAAAAACAAACAAAAAAAAAACACCCTACAAGGATGTCATTATAATGGCAGTTTATAGACAGGATTTGAATTGTGGGGGACCACTTATATGCGTGCTTTTTCAATAAATACAGAGTCGGTCTCCATATCATCAAAGTTCGCATTCCCAGATTCAACCAACCCTGTACTTTATTTTCAACCAAAACGGTACTTTATTTTCACGTTCTCCAGCGTGGTTGGCTGAATCCGCAGGAGCAAAGGGCCTACTGTAGTTAGGTTTTGGGGAATCAAGTTATTTTCTGGATTCCATTGCATGTGGGGTCAGTGCTCCTCACCTCTGGGTTTTGAAGGGATCAACTATAGTAGCTAATAGAAGACACTGTTTTCTGAATTTCATTCATTCTTCTGTTCAAGGACAGTCAAGAGGCGGAGTTTTTGCATGTGCCACTAGCTTCTATCTGTGAACTTTTCTTGAGTTTAGGAGTGCACCTTAGGCATTTGTGACTGTTTTAACTTGATTGATTTTTGTCCACAGAATTTCCCAATCAACAGGGAAAAGTGTTATGCTATCAAAAATTCACTGTATATAAATACCGATGAAATTGTTCTCAGGTGACTAGGAAATCTCTAAGTTGAGTTGTGTCTTTGTCCAGTTATGAGAAACTGACCTAAAACAAGGAAAGGAGATTGAGCTTCTCTGAAGAATATTTTTTAGAGGATCAATGTACCTGTCCCCAAACAGATAAGACCAAATTGACCTCAAGCTCCTAGAATATTCTGAGGATATGTAGCTGATGACAATGGGTTCTGTGACCCACAATGGCAGTGGACAAGGAGGACAGGTAACTGTTAAGGGCTGGACTCCATAGGTGACTTTCCCCGGGGTACAGGCTTCTTCCTTACATACGCTGGTCTTTCCTCCAGAATAATAAGCTCCGTACAGGCAAGTTCTAGTCACTTATTCACTGCTGTATCGCCAGTGCCTCCCACAGGGGTGGGGAACCTTGCTCTCTTCCAAGGGCCATTTGGATATTTATAGCATCTTTTGCAGGCCATACAAAATTATCAGCTTAAAAATTAGCCTGCTGCCACTCACAGATGTGTTTCTCACACATGGATATTTCTGTCTTTCCCTCTCTCTCCCCACCATCTCTAAAAATCAGTGGAAAAATATCCTCGGATGAGGATTAAAATAAATAAAACTTAAAAATAAGAAGCAGTTTAAAAAATTAGCCTGCTATATCAGGCCAGACATTTAATTAACTCACCCCTACTGCCTTGGCAGGGCCAGACCAAATGATCTTGCCAGCCTTTATACAGTCCTCAGGCCAGATGTTCTCTCTGCCTGGCCTGCGCCCTCTCACAGTCCGGGAGCCCTGGGGGCGGGGGCGGGGGTCCATCTGAGGGCAGTTAGACCCTTAGTGCTGCTGTGGAGGCAGGAGAGGCTGTGCTCACCAGCCCTGAGCCCAGCTTCTGGCTGAGTGGCGCTCTGTTGACCACCAGGACACAGCTCCTGCATTGAGCAGCTGCCCCCTGGAAGTCAGTGTACATCATAGCGACCATTTGGTCGATTTGCATATTAGCCTTTTATTAGATAGGATGGAAGTATTAAAATGTAAACATTGAAGTTGAATTAAGAGTTTTTGGATTTAGCTACCAAAGTACAATTTTTAAATACCACCCAAGTGATTATGTATATCTCTAAGCATATAGGATTTTAACTTAAAGTCAAATATAAGCATTTGTTTATTGCTGCAAAGAATTTAATTGAGAAATCTGTCTGACATGTCATTATTAATATTTGTTTAATCATTTGGATAAAATGGATGTGTTTGAGACTGTTGCTGCCTACACTATTGTTTGGCTCTGATGTCTTATTGCTTTTTGTTTGTTTGCCAGAAGAAAATTTGTCTGCTACCAATTCCAGCCTAATTTTGGAGCCAGGTAACAAATAGGGGTTGTTTTTTTTATGTGTTGTTTTTTTATGTATGTGTAGTCATTACATGATATTTTTATCCTTTTGTATATGTAAGCCTTTTCTTCATATCTCCATTCAGCAAATATTCAAGCGCTTACTATGTGCAAGGTTATCTGCCAGATGTTAGACTGAATAAAAGAACAGTAATACACAGTCTGAGAGCTTACAATGCAGGTGAAGTTTGTATATACACATCAGAGAGTTAAAAGCTGTGCAAGACAACACAAGGAATGGTATGGAATGCCGCCCTTGCTGAAGGGTCATTACTGAAATGCTTTAGAGTCGTTCTAAAGCAGACAATAGGTGTGATGACTTCAAAGGAGGAGAGAGCACATCACAGTTCATCCCGCAGCAGTGGAAAGAGCTCTCTAGATTGGGAATTCATGGAAACATTCACTTCTGAGCCACATGCTCTATTCACACTTCATCAATTCATCTGAGGCACTACAGAACTACTAGTCCCATATTTGTGGGTTTTCTTCAACAATTTGCCTCTTGAGAGTTGGCTTTTTGTCTCTGAAGCAGATGTGTTCTTGTAGGTCTAGCTGAAGGTGAAATGCAAACTGCATGATCTAAAATACTTGTCTCTGCTGAATCCGTGCTGGTGCTCATCACACCTATTTACACGCGGTAGGCAGACTTCTACCCAGCAAATACCGTGACTGAATTTTTAGAGACATTGCTTAGATTTATTCATCAGTAATTGTCATAATGTTTGGAACTAATTTCCTACTTTAGCAGACTAATCACAGTATAGTATATTTAATCTTTTTTTTTATTAGTATTATTTTTTAATCTTCACCCAAGGATTATTGATGAGAGAGAAAGAGAGAAACTTCGATGTGAGAGAAACATGGATCGGTTGCCTCCCATAAGCACCCTGACTGGTGACCAAACCCACAACCTTTTTTGGTTTACAGAACGATGTTCCAGCCACCTGAGCCGCCCTGTCCAGCCTAGTTTTTATTTGTGAGAACCAACAGGGCAAAGGTAACTTGCTTGTTTCTGTATCAGCATTTTAATAGACTCTTCCCATCTCTGAGGACGTTTTTCTTGTGTTTGCAGACAAGACTTTTCCTTTGCATTATCCAAAAGTTATGGTATACTATCAGATAGTTCATAAGAAAGATTTAGTCAGACTTGCTACCTTCCATTATTTTACATATTCAGTGTCTGTTGTTCCCCTGCCACTGTTATCCAGAAGCTGGTGTGTTTCAGTTTGCTTGTCTGTTAGTGAATCTGATGGGGGCTTGATGTGTATTTTAAAAGAATATAGTCCCACACCCCATAACGACATTTCAGTCAACAATGGACCGCATATATGACGGTGGCATACCATATGGCCTGTGTATATGATTAGTAGTAGGAAGCTGTAGTCCATCCAGGTTTGTGTAAGTGCACTCACTCTGATTTTTCCACAATGAGGAAATCACCTAACAACATATTTCTCAGAATGAATCTTCATCCTTAAACTGCGCATGATCATAGACTTAGACTACCAGCCATGCACTACTTATATTCAGTCTTTCAGTTTTGGAGGTAAGGGATTTAACAAGCACATGTTGAAACTGGATGAATAGGCTTCCAGTTTCATTGTAGTTAATTTAATTTTTAATTATATGTAGCCACATGTTGTTGGTGCCTACCATATTGAATTGTGTAGGGAAAAGCTTG